GATATGTTCCTCTCCTGTGACTGATTCAAAGTGATGATGCTCCTCAGGTATGTGCCATTCCTAGAGTCCTTGATAGTAAAAACCTTCCCAGATTGGTTGACAGGTTGCCCGTTAAAAACCCACTGCAACATGGGAGGGTTTCCCATGATTTCACAGGAACAGTTGATCTGATTTGCAGTTTTGATGCAACTAGAAGATGGCAGGATCTTTGGAGGAACTGTAAAGTAAACAGAAGTAACTTTCACCTGAAAATATTTTTACATTGTTTCCAAATTAATTCAATTATGTTTAAACCAGCTCTGGGAACACATATATTGGGTTGATATTGTGATGAGATTTTTTTTGTTGGTAAATTTTGCAACATAGATCTTTGAAGAAAAATCCTAATTACTGATGCTCATTAAGGTCCATTAAGGTTTCAACAAACAATAACAAATGCTTTTTAATTTTACAAATTTTTAAAAGCAGGAACCTCATGAAGAGTACTAATAATAAATCATGAATGAGAAATATTCTTTTCTGCAAGTTCATTAAAAGGGACATAGAATGCAAAACCGAGTTTACAATGTCATAGATGAATGATAGTGCAAAGGAGGTGTCGGGTTGGTGTCATGTCTGTATATATATATATATATATATATATATATATATATATATATATATATATATATATATATATATATATAGCAAAGGCATATTAAAAACAAGGGCATTGTTTAAAATAGTTCACCAAACTTCTCCATCTCATCTTCAAAAGCAAGTCAACATAACTGAACAAAATCTGTATATTTTCAAAAAAAAAAAATGAACTAACTTACACAAAATCTCTGCTTTCAAACTTGTAGTGAGATTTTTATTCACATTTCCATTCTCATTTATGTAGACAGCAGTGCATGAGATGGTCATTCTGTGATGGAAGCTGGAAGCAGTAAAGCTTAGAACAGAGGTCTTGAGCGAAGTCTTATTTGGATTCATCAGCAGTTTCTCCAGAACATTCCCCATCATGGGCGTCCATGTCAGCGTAGGGGGATGATGCAGACAGGGAGCTGCAGCAGAGCATGTCAGATTTACCCAGTCTCCCTCCTTCCCCTCAAGTATGGATGGAGTTAGAGTTGGTGTGGGAAAATGTTCTTGAAGAGAGATTTAATGATATCATTTAACAAACAAAAACATCATTAATGCAAAAATAAATTAAACATGTCAAAAAAAGTAGAAAACCTACCTTTGACATCAATTTTTACACTTGCATCTTTAAAAGTATATTTAAGACTATTACAATCCAGTCTAAAGTGATAAGCATTGCTATGATCAGGCTGGATGTTGTAGAAAGTGGTGGTGCAGTCTTTCTTTGTTAAGTTTCCTGTTACTGAATTTGTATCTGTAAGTCTTGGACTGCTGTCTTCTAAGTAAACCCACTGAGCTATGCATCCCTCTTTCAAGTCTTTTTCATATTTTCTCTGTATTTCAAAGGAGCAGGGGATGGTGACACAGGATCCTCTTAATACTTGCACCGTCTGTGGTAGAAAGACCTCGAAATTGTCACAGTTGGGACCTGTAGGACAAACCCAGTTTTAAAATAATATTCTAAGTAAATTTACTCTTATTTGTGGAAAAAATAAGTTGTCTACCTAACTAACGTCTGCTTCATGGTCTATGTCTGTTGATGCTTTATGATAATGCAATCAATGCATTAATTTGCTTTAATATTTATGGAAGCCCGTTTCTGCCACTCTGTCTCATTATAATGAGATACCATCTCATTAAAATGAGATAGTACCATGAGATAGTATCTCATTATATTGAGATGGTATCTCATTATATTGAGATGGTGTCTCATTATAATGAGATAATTTTTTTTTCTTTTTTTACAGAGTGGCGGAAACGGGCTTCCATAAATATTTTAGGTAAAACAAATACCCAAAATATATCTTAGCTTATCTAAAACAGGATTTTCTACAAGTTACTTTCTGTTATCATCTTCATACGATTTTATGGCGAAGAAATTAATATTTTATTCAATTGTAATTTGACCTCATTAAAGATAAAACCATTAGGGCCCCATTCATACAAGAGAATTAGTAATATTGTGGGAAAATAAAAACCTTACAGAGAATATTTGCACTGGTGGAAAAAGACACATCTTGGTTTCCATCTTGTTTCGTATAAACAGCAATGCAGGAGATTTGTCCATGATTCTGACGAGAGGCGTTGAAGTTCAGAATAGAGGTCCTAACTGACGTAGTGTCATGATTCTCTTGCAGTGTTTTCTGGTTGTCAAAGAATTTGGGAGTCCAGGTCAAATTTGGCGGTTGAGACTGACAGGGAGCTGGAGCAGAGCATGTAAGACTCACTGAGTCTCCATTTTTCACTTCCAAGGTGGATGGAGTCAAAATTGGTGAAGGAAGATTATCTGGTAGGAAGGTTGAAAAATACATTTAGATGCAATACTTTTTTTAATAAGTAACTTTTGAAACACACAATTGAACAAGGAAGATGGCTGATGAAGTTTGAAAAGAAGGTACCTCTGACATCAATTTTTACCCCTGCAGTTCTAAATGTGTATTTTAGGTCATTGCATTCCAGTCTAAAGTAATAAGTATTGGTATGAGCCGGCTGCATGTTGCTGAAGGTCGTGGTGCAGTCTTTCTCTGATAGGTTTCCTGATACTGGGTTTGTATCTGTTAGCCTTGGAACAGTGTTTTCTGAATGAACCCATACAGCTCTACATCTTCCATGCAAGTCTTTTTCATATTTTTTCTTTATAGCAAAGGAGCAGGGGACGGTGATGCAGGATCCTTTCAGAACTTGTACATTCTGCGGTAGAGAAACCTCATACTTGCCACAGTTTGTACCTGAGGAATAAAACAGGTTTAGAAAAATGGAAGTGAGATTTTAAAGTTAGTTTTTGCTGCCTTCCAAAGAGATTGATATTTAGTTAAAAAGATTTGGCATATGGACTGAAGTCAATTTTGTGAATTATTCTGGCATAAAGAGGGACAACATGTTATATAACATAGCCTAAAATTAAGACGGCATAACATAAACAACTTTAATAAATCTATTAAGCAGAGATTTAAAGAGTAACCACAACTTATAAGGAATATATTTTCAGAAATTTTAGTGTCCTTTTTCAGACTAAAGACCTGTACCTTGCTGAACCTCTCTGCAGACATAATGTTCAGACATATCCTGTATCTTGCTTGTGAAAAACCACACAGTGATGACTGTGAGTAGGACAGACTAAATGCTGTAGTGACTATGTGGAAAATGACTAGCGGCTCCTGTGGAAGATTGTGGTTTTTTTTTGTTACAGCAGGTGAAAGACATGAACAATTAAGACCAGCTATCAGGGCAGATAATGCAATTGGCCCGTCCACTTAAAAAAATTAAATAAAATGCACATACAAAACCCTGTACCCGCTTCTGAGGGGAAATGCGTATTAAATGTGTGCGAGAGCATGCAAAAGTCCATTTCTCCTTGTGCATGCTCATTTTAAAAGTTGCTGTCTGCATCGCTTATACAAGCTTACTTTCCGAAAGAAGATTTGCAATTTTTCCACTATGTCAGACTCATCAACAATAAGTAAAAATGGGACGAGCACCTAGGACAGCCTTACGTAAACACAATACCAGAATGATTGACAATTGGAAGGACCACTTATTTTGATGATCCAGAAAAAGAATATCCTTTAAGTTGGATCAACTTGATTCAATTAATATTAGCGACCAAAGTAATTAATTTAAGAAAGAGAAGCATTTTATTTTTAAAGTAATAAAGCATAAGGATTGAGACTTTCAGTTTGTTGATGATAATAAACACAATTCTTAGGTATATAACATTTCTGTCAGTAAATCCCTGTAACCTTTACACAATGTAGATTTAAAATATGATAATCATATTGGTTTT